CAGTCCTCCATTGTGCTTTGTTTTCTTGCTTTCTAATTGATTTTGGTAGGCCTAGGGCAGGCTTGGGCTAATTTTGGTCATCCAGATGACGATGGATTTCAATCCTTACCTGCCTAATCCAGCATAGCCAATAGTCTGGGATAATGGAAGAAGGAATGCAACAGTATCTGTAGGTTGCCTGCCACTGGTCTGGGGGCCATGTTGTGCTTGCACAGGTGACTCTGAAAGAAAGCACTCTGAACAAGAGATGGATAGAACTTGTAACGGACAAGTTGGTTCTGCTGAAAGACACTGCAGCATGTGCAGCCTTTGTTTTGTTTAAAATAACACATCTGTTGCATTTACTGAGTTGGCTCCAAAATGGCATGGCACAGAACTCTTAACAGAACTATGCTGTAGGGATCAAGATTATTTTTGCTAATTTTTCTAACTTCTTTATGCATGAAAATTTGCCCTGGTGGGTTGGAGAGCCCTTCAGAACACTGTGCAATGTATTAGGGATTGCTGGGAAAGGAGTCAGTGATAAGTGCTGCCCTTTCCATCTAAGAGGGAAGTATCCATAAGATCTCAGTTCCATCCACCAGGGTAAGGAGCTTTATGTTTGTGAAGGAGGAACTCTGGATCCAGTCCAGGGTTTTCAGTGTCTAAAAGCCCTCAAACACTAAATGCCTTATGCATTCTGGGGTAATTTAGAGGTGAATTGGAATCTTCAGTTTGACTGTAGATGGGATGAGCACTTGATAGCACCACTAGGTTTATCCCATTGTATGTGTGAGATGGATGGTATTACTGACTAGGGCATCTGGAAAACCATTAATACAGTCAAGCATACACAAAGCTTTCTTTCAGGTGATCTCCTGGGGATAGAAGAAAGATGTGTTTTTGGATATGTTTGGCTGTGGAGCAGATTCTGTGGCCACTGCCATATGAGATGGTTATGTACACAAATTGGATCTACAGGTGACAATTAGTTGTTCAGTCATTCATTGTTCATACCAAATCCAAAACTAAATTACTTTTCATTAATAAAGTCAACATGACCTATGCAAAATTTCTAATCTTTTTTATAAGTGTGCACATCAATCTGCTTTCAATTTAGTTGTTGGCCAGCCTCATGTAGTCATGTGTGCGCTTTCTTAGGGAACTCATAGGTTTTATTCTAAGAGATTCAGTTTTCTTACTGTGGAAAATGTGCATCCTTATAATTTGTTTTTCTTTTAGTGTAATGCCGTGTGTTTTGTGTTATGTGTTTTGCCAGGGTTCTACAGTGCTCCAGACAGCAAGTGCTGAATCAGGATGGGAAAAAGACGCTGTGTTCCTCCACTTGAGCCCAAGTTGGCAGCAGGCTGTTGTGGGGTAAAGAAACCAAAATTGTCTGGAAGTGGAACTCACAGTCACGGGAATCAAGCCACAACCGTGCCAGTCTCCAGTTCAGGTCCTCTTCAGAACCACCAGCATGCAGATGGGGGCAATGGAAGGGAGAATGTATCAGATTTGACTTTATGCCCTGGAAACTCTCCAATTACTCGAATGAATCCCACTTCAGGAGCATTGAGCCCACTTGCCCGGCCTAATGGAACTGCCAACAGCACCAAAAACCTAGTGGTGACAGCGGAGATGTGCTGCTACTGCTTTGATGTACTCTACTGTCATCTTTATGGTTTCCCTCAGCCACGACTTCCTCGATTTACCAATGACCCCTAGTGAGTAAATCCATGGGTATGGGAAGGAAACTGTCAATCCATTCGAGTTCTTACATGGTAGGGTAAGAGGGATAAGGTAAGGGTTACTTGAAATGCAGGTAAACTATTAAGAAGAAATCTATTGTTTTGATGTTTGTAGAATGGCTTAAAATTTGAAATGAAACTGTCTGCTACAAATGGGGAAAGTATAAATACATTGGTCTATATAAAGTAGAACTTAAAAATGGGAACAGGTATCCTATATGTTCAAACACGAGATCTTTACTGTACTATTCCCAGTAACCTTCCCTCTGTGGTACAAATTCACTAGCCCAGGCAAGCCTGAAACATGCTAAACTCTTACATTAGCAACAGCTTCAGCCATGGTGAATACTATTTTGGTGGAAAGGTGGAATATGAATTTAATTAATAAATAGTCTGTGCTGTTCAAGGGTCAACCTTAATCAGAGATTCAAGATCATGGAGGTTCTTCCAGCCCTCAAAAGAACAGCTTAATGCTGGAGTGCAGTGTTTTATTTCCCAAATCTTATATGTTGGATCTGTATTGTGTATTCTTTACTATGATTCCAATTTTAGTATCTTTGTAATTAGAATGTTTATATTTGTAGGGTATAGTCTATAATTGCTTCTATCATAACAAACTCTTCCTCTTTGTAAAAAGTAAAATTTAGTGTAAGGGCTAAAATAGATAAAGGAATTATGAACCAGACAAATGGCCATCAGAAGAAGTTTGAAGTAGAGTGGTATGCTGGTGGATTAGATGATAAAGTAGGCTTGATAATTTTGTGCTGTAGGTTATACAGTGTGAAAAACTGGTGCTTTTTAAAAAGTTAAACTAAAGACAGTTTTTTAAAGGATGTAATGGACAAGCTTAGAATTTCAAACAAAAAAGCTTTGTTTCACTTTTTGGTGCTGTACCTTGATAACGAAGGATATAAATATTGTGGGAAGCACTCGTACACATGGCTGAGCTTCAAGGGCCAAGAGCAAAGCACATTTTAAAAATATCCTTGAAAGTATGATATTTCTTTAACAGTTTTCATTTTACTTGTGCTTGATAGATACTAAGATTCACTTCTAATGCAAATTTCACACTGGAGTTTTGTTGAAATGTGATATGGTACCAGTTCTTTCCTCATCACAGTTGCCTTTTTTTTTAAGTCCATGCTTCCATCATGCTAGGACTTCATAGATCAGTCGTCAGTGACTCAGTATGGCCAGGAATAGTACTTGACTTATGACCCTACATCTTATACACTCTTCCAAGAAAAATGAGCTCTAGTGTTCCAGCATCCATTAAAAAAACTTTATAATTTGGACTGTAAACCATTTTTAAAGCTGAGGAAATAGTAGTGATTGATCGCTTTTTGTGCAATGTGTTACCTACAGACAGAATAGCCCAGTTCAGATAATACCTTGACTGATAAAACTGAGATATTTGTGAGTCTTTTTCCCATGCACATAGTCCCTTCTATTCTTACATGTACTTTCCAGGCATGTTTATATTTCAGTTTATTAAGCCAGGATATAATTATTTGACTGCATCCAGAGAGAAAGATAAGAGCCCAAGGTGACTGCACTAGCTGATAAGAAATTTGAATATACGTTTCTCTACATTGAGACCCAATATTGTAGCTATGGCATTGTATTAACTACATCATTAGGCATATAGGATTAGTGCTTTCTGTAGAATAAATTAGGATAAACAAACTGGAACAATATTAGATTTTTGGAGCTAAAAAATAGGGAAAAATGCTAACTTCTCATCTTTTTCCATGTTCAGGGTAATATCAGAAGTTTGCTGGGAACTCAGAGTAGCTGAATTTGTTTAGCCCTGTTGCCAGGTTTAAGAGTGAGACATGGAAAGTGTGTGTGAAAATGTCAGAGATGAACTCAATTTTTTTAGCTCTAATTTGGTGTCTTCTACATTTAACCAGGATGTCCTGATTAAGCCATGCTTCCATCTTGGCTCCATTAATTTGTCATTCCTTCTCTTCCAGACATTTCTAGAAATAGTACAGGAATGGAAAGTGGATGGGGACATGCTATCTTTTATATTCATTTTTTTCATGTCTTTTTGCTAGCTGCACATACTTGATTCTAAAGAAAACTTTAGAATTAGATACCCTTTCTTCAAAACTTTCCAGTATCTATATATCTGATAATTGTATAACCAGAATTACTGTGACCTGCCTTCCCCAACCTGGTGGCGTTCAGAGCCATTTGGACCTCAACTCCCAGAATTTCCATCCAGCAGGGCCATTGACTAGGAATTCTGGGTGTTGCAGTCAAAATGACTATGACCATCCATCCATGGCCCTTATACAGTTTCTTGAGAAGTGGGTTAGACCAATGCATCTTGCCCTTGCCTTCTAGACAGCTGATAAATAAGAGCTGATGTGACCTCATTCTTTCAAAAAGTGGTATGCACAGTAATGCTCTATTACCTCTTTTATTTTTCCTAGAACTTCTTACAGAGTGATCCTAACATCGTCTTGTGGGGTGGGGGGGTGCGGAGATAGGATACTTTGGATTTCCAAATCTAACATCAAAGATAAAGTTCGAACCATGTAGTGCAGAATCTGTGCTCCATTCCCCCCAAATACACAACCAAAACAAAAAGAACGATGTCAGCTGCCTCTCTGAGTTTGGAAAAGTGACCAGAGTGAAGGGATAAGGGGGGCATTCCAGAAGGAAAAAACTCCAAGAATATGCACTCTCCTGATGCCATTCCAGCTTCCTATTTTCCCCAATCAAAGTGCCTCAGCTAGTCAGCCAAAAGCTGCCATCTAGTTGAAATGAAGAGCAGGAGATGCAGGGAAATGGAAATCCACTGCTCCTCTCACTCTGCATTGGGTACTCATAAGCTTCTGAGTTGAGCAGCTTGTGAGCATCAGGGGCTTAATTGATAGGATTGTACCCTTCATCTATATAATATATAAAGAAATTGACTGATCCCTGAACTAGTATTCTGTATGCAGTAAGAATCTGAACACAGCACCCAATTACTCACCACTGCTGTTGGACCCAGGACTGTGAAGAGTGCAAACAGAAATTGACATGCAGCTATTGTGTGTACAGTTCTGTGCCTCAGCAAGCAAAGAAATCTTAAAGCAGAAAGATAAGAACATGTGCAGCATAATATTGAAGTTGCCCCTATCTATTTTTTTTTCTATTCTATTTTTTTATTTATATCCTGCCTTTTTCCTCAAAGGGCTCAAGGCAGCTTACATCATTCTCCTCCTCCATCTTATCCCCACAACAGCAACCCTGTGAGGTAGGTTGGGCTGAGAGTGTGTGACTGGCCCAAAGTCACCCAGTTGGCTCCATGGCCGAGCGGGGACTAGAACCCAGGTCATCTGAGTCCCAGTCCCATGCTCTTAACCACTACACCACACTGGCTCTCTATCTATCTGTGCAGAGCCACCTTGTGTACAACTTCTTGAAGCACTGGTAGTTACTCATGGGGTTCAGCTTCTCCGTCTTGTCTAGTAAAAGAAAGAGCAAACTTTATTCATTATACGTCTATGCCACCCAAAGCTCCCTGGGCAGTTCACAATAATTAACAGTTATGTAAATCTATGACTGTACTGCATAGTTTATTGCTCAGGTGCTTGCCTGGGGAACATTTCCAGTTGTCACAGATGTGACATTTGAGGATTGGATAAAGGTGGTAAGTATGTATTAAGGGAAATTATTTTCTAGTGTAGTGTATAATTTCCAGTGTAGTATTGAATGATTACTGGTAATTATGCTGCAGAAATCCTTTAAGTAGATTATCCAAACTATAAGTGACTCCTTGTGAAGCAGGGACAATGAGATTGCACTCAAGAAAATACTGCTGCTGATTTTCATAATTAAACCAACCAAAAGATTGATTTAAAGTGAAGATACAAATCATAATTAAGATCAATATTAAAAGATCTAATTTACATATTCATCATTTGTAAATCATAAATTTCCTGTAGAAGTGTGCATATTTGTTGACTGCTGTGATACTTGATTTGCAACTAAATAGGAGACTCACATAACAATCCTATGGTCCCTGGGGCATCTCAGGTGCCATAGGCTACCATGGATTTCCTTCTGCTAAGGCTGCAGATACAGGTATGATCTATGGGGAAGAAAATTTGAGTCACAGGTCATCCTATCCTGACCCTCCTTGCCAACCAACTTAGAAGAGAGAAAAGGGGGCAAGATGGTGAGACAGGAGAGAAATACATGGATTTCTTAGATGCACAAACCTCTCCATTCCCTTCCCTGCCTAACAAGAGGCAAGTTAGCTAGATAGGCTGAGAGGCTTGCCTTCCTACACATAACAAAACTGGAGAAATTGGAGACTGTAAAAGCCTCTGTTCTGCTGCTGCTCTGCTTGTCTCTTGCCAGCAGGGCACTGGTAGATACCATCTAGTATTTGGTAACATAAACAACAGTCATTGATCATGTAGTCTATGAACCTTTTGCTGTATACTATTATCGCCCTTTGGCACAAAATGGGGCAGCTGCCAATTTAAGGAATTTCTGTTTGGCTCACATGCAGTACTTACTTGAATTTTCTAGAACCTTACAGGGCAGATTTTTTTTCATTTATTTGATACATTGATATCCTCCCTTTTCCCTGCAGCTTACATAAACCTGTTCCTCTCCATTTTATTCTCACGTGAAGTCTGTGAGTTAGGTTAGGTTGAGAGCCAGTCACTGAGTGAACTACATGGCTGAGATGGGACTAGAACTTAGATCTCCTGAGCCCCAATTCAGCCCTCTAACTACTATACCACACTGGCTCTTCATGAGATAAATAATATGCCTGCTAACTCATAGATACTCATAACTTGAAAGGTAAGTATGTTATGGAATTAAAGGATATAAAAGAGGCATGCAAGATTGCCCAGATGGCATTGGTAGGTGATCTGAATTCTAGTGCTTCTAATGACTTGGCAATTCCTTAGTCCAGAAGAAGCCTATGACATTAAATGTATTACTAATTGTATCATATTTATAATGTTTGATATCAGTATTCAAATATTTTCACTATATTTTGTTACATAAAAAGTATGATTCCATTCCATTTATTATATTTCTGTACTGCCCAATTATACTATACTTTCTGGATGGCTTACAGGGATTTATTTAATAAAGGATCTTGATTTCAGTTTCAGATTGTAAGTATAGGATTTTAATTCCATGGTAATTCTAGAACTAACAGTAGCATGGTAACGTTATTAGAACCGACAGAAATAATGAAGTTTGCATGCAAACTTTCAAATTCACCAGAGTTCTTTCTGATACTGGATATTAAGCAAAGCAAAACAAAGGTGGGGGAGATGTTGGCAATTGTGATGAGAGAGCTCTTGTCCATTGTTGAACAGTTAAGATGAAGTGATGGAAACTTTGGCTGCAAGGTTTACTGGGGATTTAATTCCATTAAACTTAGTGGGATGTACTTTTGAAAAAACATGTTTATGATTGCTTTGAAAATTGGGTTAGACTTTGTATTGTGCAAAAAAAATCAGTTTGCACCAAGGCATCATGAGGCGGAAGGAACAACTGCTCCTATCCTTTTGAAAATATAAAATCAGTAGCAACTTCCCTTGCTGCAGCCTGATATCTTTCTACATTAGGCATCATCTCAGCTCATTGTGAGTGCTATTCTGTACTCCAGATAAGCTGTCTGAGGACCTTTAGAATTTGGTGGAAGCCCCCTAAATCCAGAGGTTTTGAGATATACTCCTACCAGTGAAAATACTGTGGTGTTACATCAAGCGTATGCTAGCATTGATAGAATTTTACCAGTAGAGGGAAAAAACTGAGTTGGTGACAGGAGTTGCTTCAAATACTAAGCTCTCCCAGAAGGTGCTTCTGGTACCTATTTCTACTTAGGTATAACATTGACTCACCAAAAGGAGTTGGCATTAAGTCATAACTGTCCCATTAAACTGAATAGAGGAAAAGAAAGAAAAAACACTGCCTTGATGTAGTGCAGGATTAAGATGAAACCTGCAGCTAATCACAGCACTTGTGCACCTATATATAAACCTCATGGAGCACCACTATAATTCAAATGATAAAGCATGCAACATGGAGCACTCTCTCTCTCTGGCTTCAAGTGTGCTTCAACATGTACACAACAAGAGGGAACTTTAGTTAAAGGAACTTCAGAAAGAAGGCTCTTGGCACAAGAAGGGGAGCATCTTGCACAAACAACCTGGCCTCAAAACACACAAACAAGCACATTGCTAACACTTGTTGTCTTAGAACAACCACAGGTACTTTGCCTCAAGAAAAGCCCAACAGCAAGTGCACTCTACAACTGGGGAAGCAAGGACAAAGCACCTCACACTGGTAAGCAAGGAAAGGGGGGAGTTTATGCTTCAAAGTACAACTGCTGCAAATGTCTCCCCCTCCCTTGCAACCTATGGAAGCTGTCTCTTGACTAAACTGTATTGGTGAAAGGATCCTTCCTTCCTCAATAAATAGAAGCAGTTTTTCCCACACAGGAAGCCCAAGGTTAACCATATGTTGTGCAAAAAGGGGTGGAGCCCTAGTGGTCATGAAACCCCCACATGAAAATAAACTCTGTTAGTAAGGGCCAGGCACTTGATCTATTGCCACAGCTAGCCAAACACTTATGATCCCTTTTGCCTTACAGGATTACAGCCAGGTCACTTGGAACAGAACAAATATTGTACAGAATTGCTGAAGGGGAAAGGTAAGTATAATCTCAGTGGTTACACCTTCTGCCCCAGTAGGGGAAGGGAGACTGAGAAAAGGGTGCTAGATAAACTTCTAAATGGCAGCACTCACTTCGCTCCTCACAAACACCTGCTGTACAAACAGGAGCAGAAATTATGCATTGCAGCTGCTGACCATTCCTCATTACTTTCCCTTTGTGTCTTTTGGATTTCCACAGGCAACACTCTACCAGATACAGAGGACAGAATGTTTTCTACTCCCAATGTTATGCAGACCTCAAATGAAGCCTAAAGCAAGACCAGTAGCTGTGACCAGTATAATTCCAGCTATTCCTCTGTAGGTGCCAGCCGGTGGGCTCCTGTGTCTTTGAAAGCTGTTTGGCATACAGTTGTGTCCACCATGGGGATGGAGCAAGGGCATTCCCACCTACTACTCTAGTGTCATGCAGCTTTCAAAGTCACAGGGTGTTTGCCAAATGCTGTCCATACATGTTTTTCTTTCAGGACTCACTTCAGCTGCCTTAAGGAAAGGCAAGATAAACATTGAAATAATAAATATATATCTGATTATGTTAAATAAATGTTTCATTGTGGTGCAGCTGTTTCTTTTTCAGTGGGAATGGAAGCTAGGGATCTCTTACCCCCAAAATGGTTCTCACTGGCCTTAGGATTGCATTCTGACTAGGGCAAGGGTGGAGGAAGGGACTTTTCTTGTTATGACTCCATTCCCTGGCCTTTTGACTTACAGTAGTCTCCTTAGAGCTCTCAGGTGGACTATAGATAACACAGTCAGCTGGCATTGGGATGGAGGTGGCAAAATGAATTATGATGTCTGGTACAATAAGCATCGGGCCAGCCAGCCCATTATGTTTCTCCATTCAGCACTCCCCTGACTACCTGGCACAGCACTCATTTAGATGTGCCAGTCATTCAGATGGATATTCTGTCTGTTCGCAGGGTGCATCTGAGGCTTAAACCTGAGGCCTCTTGCTTGTGAGAACCATCTCCTGTTTCATGGGGCTAAAGTTCCTTATATAACTTTGGTGTTCCTGGTGTAAATTACTGGGTTTATGTGTGGGGTTGTTATAATAAATGACCTGTGATACATTGTTTTAATAACTAAGTGAATAAGCGGGCTATTCTGTGGAACATACAGTGATGGACTCTAGTCTTACCTGCTTCCTCACTCTTGCATCTGATACAAATTTGGCAGGCCAGGCATGTAGAAAGTCAGTTGGGCCTCATTCTACTGGGGCAGATACAGGCCATGGGTTGATTTAAATGGAGATGTGAAATGAGAGTTAAGAGTTCAAGTCTGAATAAATCAACAACATTTTTTGTACTGGACATCCATTACCACCTTCTCTTGCTTTAGCAGGTTTCCCTTCTTGGTCTTCTTTTATTTGGTTTCAGTGTGGATGCTACCCTAGCTGGAGTAAGATGATGGCATACTGCAACTGCTTGTTTCTTTCACATAGCAGGCACCTTGCCTGACCTGCACGGACATTCTGTCTCTCAGTGATCAGGCAAGTTCCTGATCCAGGGTTTCAGTTGTAACAATGGTTAAACTTCTTCTCTAAAAAGAGAAAAAAATCTTCCCTCTCTTTGTTGCCCTCCTCTTCCTTGTTCCTTTTCTTTTCTATGCTCTCCAAGCACATTTTTAATCAGCATGTTTCCATCACCCCCAGGTAATTGTAGCTGTGGCCCTCCCTCTTGCAAATATTTTATTTCCCTCATGATTGTTACCTAGTTCCAATAACCCCAATTTATCCTATGCCACAGCACATTTCCTCATGATGGGACTATAACTTGCACCTTCTATTTAAAACCTTCTGTTTAAACTGATACTAAAATAATTAAAATACCAACTAACAATTTAAAAACTGGGTAAAGCCATCCTGAGATGCTATGTATAAGGGATGGCATATAAAAGCTTTAAACAAATAAGGCTTTGGCCTGGTGCCAGAATAAATAAAGTATCAGCATCTGGCACACCTCTCTGGGGAGTGTGTGCCATAATCGGGGCACTATAGCAGAAAAGATCCTCCTCATAATAGCCCTCCTCACCTCTTTCAAGGAGAGCTCTCGGAGAAGGACCCCAGCAGATGACCTTAAGCAGGCTCACATGGAAGATGTTCCTTTAGATAACCAGACCCCAAACAGGGCTTTATATGTTATCATTAGCCCCTTAAATTAGGCCCAGACTTCAGTTGGTAACCAGTGTAGATGATATAGGACCATCATAGTAGGCTCTCGTCTACCAGTCCCAGTCGGCAATCTGGCTGCTCTATTTTAACCACTGGCAATATCTGAACCATCTTCAGGGGCAGCCCCATGTAAAGCATATTACAATAGTCCAAATGGGAGGTTACCAGTGCATGAGTTACTGTTGTTAGGGCTTGTCTGTCCAGCAAAGGATGCAGCTGATGAGCCAGCCTTAGCTGAAGGAAAGCACTCCTTGCCACAGATGCCACCTGGGATTCCCGGGATAGCTCTGGGTCAAGGAGTACTCCCAATCTGCATACCCTGTCACTTGGGGAGAGTGCAGCCCTATCCAAGACAGGGCAAATAACATTCACCTGAATGATTGGCCCACCCACCAGCAACACTTCTATCTTACCTGGACTGAGGCTTAATTTACTGGCCTTCATCCAGTCCATCATACTGTCCAGACACCTGTTTAGCACAGTCACCACCTCACCTGGATTAGATGAAAAGGAGAGGTAGAACTGGGTGTCAACAGCATACTGATGCAAATACAGGGCTTATGCAGTAGATTTGGACAGACAATTGGATTTTTATTTTGAGTCAATGGTGCTTTTGCCATTTTCTATTTTGAATGCTAAATATGGTTTGCCCAGTGGAGCTGAATGGGTTATTTAGGTTTGGCTCTGTATTTGCAGTGTCAGAGTCTCCTCCATTTTTAGAAGTGCTTCAAGTTGTTCAGATACATCAACCCACAATTCAGGTCTAGAAATATTTTATGGTAACTATGAAACACAGGATCTTGAATGGAATAGCAAATTGAACTATCCTGTTGTACCCAATTAGTGGATTGCTGCATTAGTTCTGTCTTAGAAATGTCAGTGGATGGTTACACCTTAACTAGCACAACCTTTTCTTCTGGCTATATTGGACTCTGTAATGTGATTTTAATGCAGATTTGTCTGAAATGGCTGACTGTTGGAGATGTAATTCATCTAACACTTATCTCACCCTTATGCTTTGATAGTGGTTTTCTTTTTGGGAGGAGGTTATAATATGGAAAAACTGTTAGAAAATTCTTTAATATTTACTGATGTGCATGTGTTCCTCAATTATTTACCTGTTTCTTGAAATTTAACACAAGATCAAAATAAATTGATTTACTGCGCCCATTTGACAGCTAAAAGATAGATACAATATTGGAAAACAGACCCTTAATAATGTAATGGATTGAGGAATTTAGGATGCTTTCAACTTTTGAATGGGTATCATAACCTATGAATGGATAAATACATAAAGCTGACGCATATTTATGTTCATGGATAGTCGTGTATCTCTATACATAACATTTTGAGCATATATTTTAGATTCACCCACTGTAATCAATCTATTCAAATTTTATGTAAGAAACTATTTTATGTATTTTATATAGATTTACTGAAGAAGTATTATTTAAAAAGAATACACCCATTGAAATGAATGGGACTTAAGATAGTCATGATTGAAGTCCCTTTCATTCCAATTTATCCTCTTTGAAACATATGCTGGATTTAATCCTGTATGGTAAAGTAAGGAAGGAGGTGTTTTCATGTCAGTGTGTACTGGGTTGGGGATTGTCTGCATGGCACTCTGATAGGGAGTTGACTGTGCTGTCATCTGTAATAGAGTGCATTACAGTTGTCAGTGGTCAAGTTATAAATAGAAGGATAAGTAAAAGGTAAGCCTACTAATAGCAAACTCATTTATGTAGGTATGTATCTTTATGTAGTCAAAACAGCACCATCCATGCACAACAGTAAGGTATCTGGTAGCTTAGGAGAACTTCAGGTTTTACAGAAGTACTAGCTATATACCTGGGAAAATCCCCAAGGAAGGAGTACCTTATGACAATGGTTCCCAACCTTTTTTTCATGTGCATACCGCTTGGCACTCCATTTCCATAAATTGTATCTTTCATATTAGCAAAATGCAATTAATACAGTTGCTGTTATTTCCACCATTATTCATTTTTTCACATACCCCTAAATGCCCTAGTTTGTACTCCTTGGGGTATTTGTACCCAAGGTTAGGAATCAATGTCTTATGAGAACAGAGCATGGAATACTGACTCACTGTGGGGTGGGGTAGAAACTTGTGGTGAAAGGACATATGGAATGGTGTATTTCAAAAGACAGCCTGGCTGGCTGGTACTCTGAAAAAGAGCAGTCCACACTACAGTTGTTTGTTGAAAGTCTCAGTTGTTGAAAGCTGTGTCTATAATGACCTTGGGTGCTGTTCTGCAAGAAACGGATTACCCTCCGAATCTGGTCAACTTGGGTTCTATTAATCATGTTATATAAAAGATATTCACTAACGTGCACCAAAAAAAGTCTGCCAGTAGGGCAGGGCCATAGGAGTGCCCAACCTGTGTGCAAATAGTCTTTTCCAATCCATTTTAAAGCTGTTAAACTGCACTCAAGAATGTTTCCATCATACCCACCAGCTTCATTCCTGCTTTTTAAATTGTTTGCTTAGTGTGCAGCCTGAAGAAAAAAATTTCAAAGTTAGCTTGCTACTTCATGAAGTTTCAGTTGGGCCTAAGGAAAGGGTTACACTACTGTTGGATGTTAGTTCTTTCTACTGAATGACATAGTTATCTGTATTTTATGCTTACACTGTAATCTAGTTATTTTAAAATGCAATTTTTAAAATCCATTTTTTTTGGCATACAGCTGTTCTTTTCAACTTGGCAAAGTTTGGCTATCAAGTTGGAGGATCCTTTTTAAGATGTCTTTACATTCAGTTCAAAAGTCAGATCAGATATCATTTTTGCATCCATTTGTACTAAGAGTTTTTCTAATTTCCTAACAGCCCAATGCATAATGATCCTAGTAATACAGTTGGTTGATAAGGGTGCACAAACTGGAAACTCAGTTCTATGGAATACTCCTGCACTTAGCAGAGGAAGGTAATAACACATTAGACCATTCTGTTTGTTTCTATTTTTTCTTGTTTCTGACTTTGCTTTTCTCTTCTTTTTTCTTATTGTAAGGTTATATTGAGGTTGTAGGGGCATGAGATCACAAAAGTTGTGTTATATTTTATAATGGTATTCATCAGCCTACATGTTGAAGTTATGTTTTATGTTAATGTTTTAAAAATAGGTAAACAAAATGGAGTATTAACGGAATTGTTTAAATTTTACATTATAGGACTATTTATAAGAAAGATTAACAAGATACTTATTTTATTTCATGGTAGAGCACTATCCTGGTTTATTTATTCTTTGTGGGCCACCACATATTCTAACCATTAGCCCCTGTACAGGAAGCCACTTACATTCTACTTTGCAGTACGTGAATGGGGGTTGTTACTGATATTTAGGGTGACATGCTATCTGACATGCTATCTCACACCATCTCTGGTATGGCTTATAGATGGCTTATAGATCTCCAGGGCTGGGTCAGGAAGTTTTAGTAAGCTTTGGGTATAATTTGAAAAGTAATAAAATATGAGTAGTATTTTTGTTTTGCACATAAGACTGGAAAATACTGCCTCTAGCACTGTGTGTTGCATTGGGTCAGGATGATTATTTCATTTTTGTACGACCCAATAGCTGAAGCTCTTTAGGCAGTTAAAACTATGATACAAGATAATTAAAAAAAATAAACTTCTAACATACAACATTTTATGTAGGATACAGTTCTATGGGTTGTGCTCTCAGGTCCCTGAACCTGGAGACTTAACTACCATCCTATACAGCCACCTCCCCCAACCTTGTGCCATCCAAACACATTTAGACTACAACACCCAGAATTCCCAGTCAATGGCCCTGCTGGATAGGACTTCTGGGAGTTGCAGTTCAAATGCCTGTGAAGGCCACCAGGTTGGGGAAGGCTGCTATACAGGGTAAGAGCAAGAGTAAAAGCATTCTTCCTTGTCCTGCCCTTGCACCCTGTTTTTTGTTAAATGGGCATTTGTCCCCATCTAACAAAAGTGTTTCAGAGTAGAGAGGAGGAGGTTAAATAAGGCTTGGGATCACTCCTCACTAAAATCCCTCTTTCCTCCTCTCCAAGATCATGTTTCCAACTTTAGAGAGGCAGCCAGAACAGTTTGTTCAACCAGTTGCTATGGGGAGGGAGGTGGGGAGGGAGCTGAGAAACTGAAATATCTTGTGGCACTTCAGACACTGTCTAGAGGCTATAGGATTGCTCTCTTCTAATATAAATAAATAGTTGTAGTAAGATAGCAAAGTTTTTCAAAAATGAATAAGAAATAACAGAATAGATGTGATAACAGTGCAACTAAATCAGCATAGCCTCAGAAAGCATCATAAAGGGCTTAGTTCTCCAGGGTCTTTGGGAAACAGTGACAAATGAATATTCTACAGTTCAAGTATCGTTACAATTAAAGCCTTGTTTCTTGTAGAAGGTAATCTAGCATCCACATAATACTTTGACACTTCAAGCAAAGTCTTATTGGCATGAAACACAGAGGTCATTATTAAAGTGTTGACACTGCTTGAGATTATCAAGATTGGGACCGTTTCCTGACCTGGACCTAACTGGATACTGCAGTCAATGTCTGAGAACTCCTTCAGCATGTAACCTCAAACAGCTTCTTGGAATGTGGGAACAATGGAAAGGGCCTTTACAGTGGTAATCCCCTGATTATGGAATGATCTCCCCACTGAGACCCACCTGGCAGCAACACTGTCATCTTTTTGATGTCAGATTAAGACTGCCCTTTATTCTGAGGCATTTAATTGAATATGATGGGAACATTGATGACAGCTGGTTTTAACAGCTTTAGGAATTAATTGAAATTGTTTTAGTTCAACTTGTCTTAAATTTTGTATATTGCAATTTTATGCTGTATCAAGCAGTTATGTTCTGCACATTTAAGTTTCCAAACTTTCCTCAAGATGAGCATCACATAAACTTAGCTTTTAACAAGTAATGCTGTCTCTGGCTTGCACGCTCCCTCCTCTCATTCCATTTGTACAAAGGAAGGAGATTAGAATTCTCAGCTATTAATTTACAGGAAGCCATGCTATAAACAAAGCTTACTGTTTTGTCTGTATTTGCCAAATAACAGTTTGTTTTCAAACTAGCTTACAGGTCACTGTTTGATCCCAGTTTGAAGGCAAACCATAATTTGTGCAAACCACAGTTAGTTGCATATAAATGAAATGATAGATTAGAGTTTACCAGTAACTGCAGGCAGAAACTTCTACTCTCTCCCCTTAGGTGTGGAGAAAGGAAGCATGCAAAACCCAAGCTTATCATGGTTGGACCAAACCATAATTTAGAAAATTATCTGAATGGGTCCATAGAATGCATTACAATAAATCTATTCTGGAATTCACCAAGGGTGCAGGAATCACAGTTTTCAGTTTTCTCTCTTTAGCAAGTGCCATACCAGCTAACACTAGTAAAAAGCCTTCCAGGCCTCAGCAGCTATATGAAAATCCAAGGGGGCCTAAATGTTCCCCCAACCTATGAATCTTTTCTGTTTTGGGGGTAGAACAAGTACTTCCTCAAGCAGTCAGTTGACAGAGTCATCTGCCATCATTAACTTTGTGGTTGCATTCACAACACAACAAGCAACTCTATGGTTACCATAGTTTATGGCTTTTTATTATGATCTACCCAACAGATGACCACATATTTTCCACCCTTCCTCTCAGTCCTTCCAATGTTGGCACATGATCAATCCCAACGTGCATTGCTTCCTGTCTATATCACTTCCCTCTTCCTCTTTGGTCCACACATAGAGACTGGGTGGCCAGAGCAGCTCCTGCAGTTGCTATTCTTTCCAGAGGGCTTTATGGTAATTGCATAACAGGACCACGGAAATCACAATCCTGTGTTCAACATAACAAGCCATGGTAGTATGGAAAAACCATAGAACAAACTATTGTTTCTTATCGGGGTTTCTAAAGCTCAAACTTACCATGGTAAAATACTGGGTTTGAACAACACAACAGACCAGCATTGGTAAAAAAAAAAAACCACCAGGGCTTGGCACATTGTCTGAATCCAGTCATTATCACATGAACCATGGTAACCACCCACAGTTGCTTGTGTTGTGTGAACACAGGCTGTCCTACATGCATTGTTCCTTTGCATCCAGCCAATTAGTGATTTTCAAACATGCATTTCAGCAGGCTATTGGTGCACCTGGGTCTGAAGAAAATGAGAAACAGCACTAAGGATTATTGACATAGAGAAGACTAAATGCACCCTATCCATGCTCACACATGAAACATATTTAACAAGTTTTCATGTTAAAACATGGAAGGTGAAAGTGAGCCTGAAACACCACATGACTGCTCCAATGGAAAAGGATATCAGTTTCCCAACACTACTTTCTGGAACTTTCAGGGATCCAGAAAAGTGAAAATCTTTTTCACAAGCATGATACCATTGTAAATATTATTGATGAGGCCCAGGATAATAAACAGGATCATACTGCCTGCCTATCCTGGTTTATGTTATCCATGTGAGCACCCAAGCTGATTTTTTACCTCCAAGCATAGCTAGAAACCAGACTGAAATGGATCAAAATAATCAACTTAAATGCAAGAGCACCTGGAGTTTTCTGCCTGTACCCATTTGAGCATCTTGCCCAAAAAGAACTAGCTTATAAATTGCTGAAGGCTAATGCCTGTCAAGGAAGGGCCTCACAGCTGCCTCCTTCAAGGCAGGTAGGATACTTAGCCAACCTGTTGACTAGATTGTCTAGTGGCCATGGTAAATGTCAAGCTGGTGGGTTACCTCAAAGCACCTTCTCTTTGTCCATCAAGGTAATTCAAGTAATTGTGTACATTAATGAATTAATAAAATTGTGATAACTTTCTACTCCTTGACAACCTTGAACATGGCTAGTGCCATCCTTCCTGTAATGCTTGATCTTGGGCTATACTTTCCCCATGGTCTGTTGTTTCCACAGAAAAGCACATTTTAACTCAGTGGCTACAGTGCAGCTGGGTACACTTAAGCCATTGGGTTGTATGGCTGTGAGTATGTTAGTCAACGTTTGAAGACTCATCTTGACATAGAGGGACACTGAAGAGTTTACAAATGAAAGAGAAAATGCTTAGCTAATTAAAAAAAAGCAAGGCATAGTTGGCTTTTCATTACAAGAACACTTGTGCTACTTTTGTGCTTAAGTTGTTGTATCCCAGCAAGAAATATTTGAAGCTGGAGCAGGGTTTTTTGTTATGCATTTTCAGTCCACTCTTTGTGACATGGAAGACAGGGCGAGACAAACGACTTCGGGGCTGCATTGGAACTTTCTCTGCCATGAATCTTCACTCAGGACTCAGGGAATATACATTAACCAGGTAAGACATCAGTGGAGTTAAATACCTGTCATTTCATGTATTCCATATGGTATATCCAGCTCCTGGGACAGCTTTTAACTAGTGCTGCCTAGAGTTAGAACTGAGTAATCGCTGCCTTAGCTAACTTATGTTGTACATCATGCTATAGCTCCCAGTTAATGCTGAATTCTTTTTATTTGGGCCTGAAAATCAGTCTGCTTTAGAGGATGGCATATAGAGAAGCAATTCACAGCAGCAAGCTTAGTACAGCAATGCTTTAGCCTTAGATACAGTGGTTTGTGCTAGCTATTTACATGGCAGAGTTTCAGGGGGGCATTTCCACCCTACAGCAGCTCTCAGGTAGGGGACCAATCCAAAACTGAGCTGATGCAATGCTGTACTGGGACAGAAGCCTTGCCACAGAAACAGTGAACATTCAGCTTTCCAAGCAGCCTGACCCTTTGAATGAGAGGGGCATTTTCTCTTGTCCCAGTGAACAGCCTACTGGAAAGCTGTATATGAAAAGTGGAGGCCAAAGAAGAACAAACTCTTTGGCATTCTTTCTGGTTCGGAAAAGAATCTAGAACTACAGAAGGAAAAAGAATGGAAAGTCAGTAACCTTTCTTTACCTGAGGCCAAAATGGATTCACGTCCAGGTGTCTTCTTCAGTACAGATATTGCAATAAATGAGAATTTGGTGCCACTAGAACCAGTTTATAATTAAATATTGATAAACAGCAGCAAAACTCTAGAAAGAAAATCCTTGCAAAATCCCATTAACAATGTAAAAAAGAAGGCTTTCCAATAAGTTGACCTATAAAGCCATAAATATATTAATGTATTTCAGAGATAGTTTTCCCCACCCCAATCACCGCAAAAGCACTTTCATTTTCCACAAGTATCAAATCCTGTTTTCCCTGAGGCATGGCAAAGTATGGGGCAGGAGAAGAAAAGCACTGTCATGCCTTCCCATTGTATTATCTTGCTAATCATCATAAACAAATTTCATTACCTTATTGTTTCATTGGGCATTGCATGTAATATGCATAAAACCTGTTCTAAATTTATGTCACTTGTTGTGTCACTGGGGCTAAATGAATCTGTGACTGTAAAAATATTTTAAACCTTACAGTGCTTTGTAGGTTGTGTATATATTCTGTTCCCATTCTAGTGCACTTAAGGACAGCAGATTTCCACCCCTGACCCGTGAGGAGCTGCCTAAACTTTTCTGCTCTGTCTCCCTCCTCACTAATTTTGAGGATGCCACTGACTACTTGGACTGGGAGGTGAGAACAGGTGCATTTGGAACTCTTCATCACTGTCTCATACCGTTTGGGTTCGGGTTAGTATATGGTAATGTGTCTGCTTTATTCTAAGCATAGATTGTTAAAGGATTATAGGATACAAGAATAAGTGTGGAAAGAGCAAAGTTTTACAAGAGACTGGAGAAGTAGAATAAAATAGTGGCACTTTTTGGTGGTTGGGAGAGGCTATAGTTAAGCAAGCTATTATTATACTTAGCTTGCAGTGCTATAAACATTTATGTTGGAGTAAATCTCAATAAGCTTAATGGTACTGCTGAGTAGCATGCATAAGATCATACATTTGCCATATGAAAAGGGCATGTGTTCTAGGTCCTGAAATAGTGAGACTTACCCAAACTGAGGTTGATTGGATCTGCCTGGGAAAGTTGTCTTTATGGAAATTGACAGTACCTGATGGAGTCGCCTAAGGAAGAGATTTATGACATAAGTCAAGGCAAAGGTCTTTATCCAGGGAAACTTGCTGCCCACATGGTACATAGAAATGGAAAATGTGCTATGCATTGTTACAGAAAATACTTCTCAACTGGCTTGATTTTCCCATTGTTAGGTGGGAATCCATGGAATCAGAATTGAGTTTATCAATGAGAAAGGTGTCAAACGCACAGCTACATACTTACCTGAAGTTGCTAAGGAACAAGGTGAGTTTGAAATAAGCTATACTTCCATCCTGAGTAGAATTGGTCACATTTTAAGTATTAGAGCAGTGGATTTGGCTTCACAACTACTGTGAAGGCCGTTAGTCATCTGTCTAAATCATTCAAAAGTAGGTTTTTCCAAAGGCTCAGAATGTTCACTAGTAGGTATATATTTAATGCGTGGTGGGTTTTTCCAAGTCTGACTATGTTTTAAATGTTGATTTCTTCAAAATTGTTTGGGCTCCCTCCTGCCCATCCCCCAGGTCATAAAAGCAAAAGAAGTCAGGGCCTAATTCACAGACTTAATTGGATGCTTTTTTCCAACACCGTGTGGATTTCCTCTTCAGCCTCATCTGATCTCACATGCCTGTCAGATGATCCTTCCATCTCCCCTCAGTTCAAGGCTGTGTGCTATAATTGTGGGTAATAGTTGAAGAATGCAGCAGTCACTACTGCCATGCAGAGCATCTTATCTCCTTCTGGAAATGAGTCAATAGATAAGGAATTTGTTAAGTCAGAGCCAGTGGGGTATAGTAGTAAAAAGTGCTGGACTGGGACTTGGGAGATCTGTGTTCTTTAGCCCAGTCACTGGCTCCCAGCCTGGCCTACCTCACAGGGTGGTTGTTATGAGGATAAAATACAGGGGGAAAGAACTTTGTAAGCCACCTTGGAGTTTGTGCAAGTAGAAGAAAGCCAGGACATAAATGCAATATATCACCAATATTTCACTGTACCTTGAAGAGAAACATAGTGGATTTAGAATTTGTTTGATCTATTGCTATTTCTTATTCTGAAGGCATGACTAACTTTATCACTATATACTAGTAAAATAGGTTGGGTCCTTGCAAGGAGTTGTGAAATTAAGACTTAATTGGCTAAGGTTTTTAAATAAGTGTATATGCAAGAAACTTTGAACTTAGACTACTTAACATATCTTGTTTGGGCATTTCACTGACACCCATCGAGCAATCTAGATTTATTTATTTCACTTTTGGGAGACTATCCATTTTCTTGAAATAAAACTATATTTGTATCTCTGCCACTATGTTTGAACAGATTGGGATCAGATTCAAACAATAGACTCCTTGCTCAGGAAAGGTGGTTTTAAGGCTCCAATTACCAATGACTTTAGGAAAACAATTAAACTCACCAGGTAAATTGCATTATTTATTTATTTTGAAATTTTCAACTGCTTTTGTTAGTAATGGCAAAACTTAGTTGAAGAGGTTGCTTTTTCCCATATTCTGAGATATTCAGAGTTTTAAAATTTGATTTGTGCGCCAGATCCTACAGGGTTTTTTTATTTCTGACCCCATCCTGCTTCCAGTAATAGTGCCACAACTCTGAAATAGCATTCTAAAAGAGTGGGGAAGATTTTTTTTTTAAATGTGATGATTTATATTAGTGATGCATATATATATTGCCACTTTTAGCTACCAAAAGTATCATTGTTTCTATTTGTGGTTGCAGAGTATAGTTGTGAGGGTTGATTTTTTTTCCTGTGTGAAATTTAATTCAGCAAGAAAAAGGCTGATTTAAATCACGTTTCCAGTGGTTATTCGTATATTTTCAGAACAATAATGCACATCTGACCAGTAAAGCATGTCAAATTATAACTAGAGTATTATTTGCACTCTTGCTTCTTGGGGATATAGGATCTGAGCACTGGACAATTTTGTCCTGTCATCTCTCCACTGTTGCTCCTTCTGTTTCACTGTACTGTGGCACAACCCCTCCACACGCACACACCAAAAAAAAAAAAAAAAACACACACAAATTAAAAGGAAATGCTAATGGCTAATAGGTAAAATAAAACATCCGAGTTACTGGGCATATCAAAACAGTATATTTTCAACAGGTAAAAATTAAATGCCTGTTTGGTAGTCTGTACATATATTTAAGAAATGGTCAGATTTGTTCTTCAAGGGTAAATTCTCTAATTCAGTAGCAGCATCAATTCAGTTTAAATTAACTATAGAAATAACAGAATTATTTAATATTAACACAGTTATTATTTTAGAGAAATGTAGCAGGCAGGTTCATGATGGGGGAAGGAAATGAGCCACCACCATTTGTTTTCCTGCCTTGTGCGTGTAGCAAATGAGCATCCTTAGTCTTACCAGGCACAGCTTGTTTTGTCATCTGAGTCTGGGAACAAGCAGTTTATAAACCACCCTTGCAACCCTAGAACATAGCATGGGATTTGGAGTGGTTTGTAAATATACCTGCCCACCACACTCACTGTGTTTAGACAACACAGCAAACTGTGCCTAGTAACAGTAATGATGTTTATTCAGCAACACATAACCAGCATTCACAGGGTGGGAAAATAGCAGCTTTTTTGCCTTCCCTGACCATGCAAACCTGGTCAGTTTTTACAACTTAAGACAGACAAAATTAAACTTAAAAAAAAAAAGATAAAGTTTTATCCATGCTGCCAGGAGGGACACCAATATAGTTAGGGGCTTTTTTTGTAACTTCCTGTTGTTCCATGATGTTTACAATGTTCGTTTTAATTTGTAAAACCCCCTAAGTACAGAAGTTAAAAGGTGGCATTATTTCTTAGTAGTGCTACTGCCAGCTTTGGGTCTGCAGTTCATTGTGTCATCCAAATCCAACAACAACTTGCACAAGTAGCTGCTTCTCCCCCCCACCCCAAAGCTGCCAGAACTCCTTTTTCAGCACCATCACCATTTCCTTCTCCATATTCTTTTCTTTCTTTTTTTTTGGGGGGGGGGGTGGGGTCCAGCTGTGTGGTGAAGGGTTACAATACTGAGTTGGTGATACAGCAATCACTGCTATATCATTATAATCTGAAGAAAAGCTAGAGAGTAAATGGCAGCAGTAGCAGCCACTCAGTGTTACTGGTAGTGAAGTTAGCTGAACAGAAAAAGAAAGTGAGCAAAGGGGGAGCTGACAGTGACTGGGAAATAAAGTTGTGATCACCCAACAGCAGTTCAGAAAGGCTCTGCTTGGAGTGTGGGCTTCATGAGGTCTGTATCCACATTAAGTTGGAAATACATATTTTGCTGTCACATTCATTTTTCAAATCAAATATTAACATATATAAATGTCTCATTAAAGGAGTTTTGTGGAGAGCTAACTAGGGTGGCTAATTGCATCAACAAATGTTTGTACCAGGAGAATGCACCTTTGGATGACTGGATATGTTAGTTGCATTGATTTTTTTAAAAAATCTTTTTTTCTTCTTCCAGATACCGCAGTGAGAAGGTGACAATCAGTTATTCAGAATACATGGCTTCTCGTCAGCATTGTTTTCAGAATGGCACTCTTCATGCCCCGCCCCTCTACAATCATTACTCCTGACACAAGGCTGCATGACCAGTCCCGCTCCCCACCTGCCACTAACAGCTATGACATCATTGGAGCAGATGCCTCCTCTTCCTGGTCCAGTTACTTTTATTACTGCACCATTTTATGATGCTAGCTTCCGTTGCCAAGTCTGCCTTCCAGCTGAGGGGTGGGGGCTACCAGTGAGTGCAACTGAACTTCAGGGTCCCAAGCCTTACCTCATCTTTCCTTCAGAATGAGGGTTCATTTGGATTGAGGCTCCAAGGTTAACAGTTGCAATTGAATAGCAAGGAATGGCAGTACCACTTCAAATTGCTCTGTCCCTGTGTTAAATTGCACTGTGTTCATTTGAATTGTTAATTATGACAGCCCCCTTGATCAAGTAGGAGAGTTCTCCTGGCAGTCTAGGCAACGGAGTCCAACAAAAGATTTTTAGGTTATTTTAATTTTTTTTAACCTCAGATATTTATCTACCATGAGCTGATTAGTCCTAATACACCCCAGGCAAGCAGATGGCATGGCCTGTTACAAGGACAGTGTGTCTGGGAGGTTTCCTCCTCCTCCTTGCAGAAGATGGCAGTCATTAAAATATTTGAAAGGGAAAACAATATTTACTGCAGATAAAACCACTGCTTGCGCATCTCCAGGAGGTTTCAGTTCTCACATCTAGCAGCTCTTGCTTTTGATACAGAAGGAACACAGCATATTAGAGAAGATAATAATGCATGTATGAAGCAGAAGTGCTACAGGTTGTGTATGGGAGTAGCTTAGGTTTCATTGTCTCCTAAGATTGTAATCTCCCTCTTTGGGTTTCTTCTGAGTGTCTAATTTAAAATACAATCTACAGTTGGATTGGGGCAGATCTGCTCCCTACAAAGCCATCTTTCTAGTAATAAAAAGGCTGTGAGAGTTGTTTATAAGGAAACTATGAGGCCTGTATTTTTAACAGGCAGCAGTTTTCTCTGGTGTGATCCTAATTTCCAGGTCATGAAACACAGTAAATGTTTAAGTGTTCATTGAATACACATGTCATTGCTGCACTGGTGCTTTAGCCCTGAATACAGGTAATCAAATTGATTCAAATTGAAATTACTTCCAGATAAGTATATTTAAAATTGGAAACTGAGGAATGTTTTCTACCCACACAAAAGGTTTACTTAGGTCCATGTCTGAGTATACTGTAAATTTTAAAATTTTCCTACTGTTGCTGAATACCAGTACACTAATAGTAAATGGGTTTTTTTTTAATTCCCATACCCCAATTCTCCTGTGTGAGTCACTAAGTGATATCATGAAAGCAGGTATTAAGATTCCTCTTAAAAGAATCCACAGGAATATAAAATGGCAATGCAGGACTTTGGAAAACCTTGGTATACGGTTTGATAGGACCCACACACACACACACACAAGAAAAAAAATGGGGAAAGCACAGTATAACGAGAGCTTGGGATCATATATGCAGAATGTGTAACAGTAGCTTTTCTGGTGAATGACTGAAAGCCAGAAATCATCTAGGAATTATATTTTACTATGTGATGTAGGTTTCCAGATCTTTGCCCTCATGGGAAAAAGACATAAATGCCTTTTATCTTGAAGTAAAGCATCAAAGGCAGCCTGAATAGATGCTGTATCACTGAAGCATACATAGACATGAATAACCTCTCTGTACTGGTGAGCAGTAATTGCCAGTATCTGGCTTGGTTGCACCAAGGCAAAAGCAGCCTGGAACAGGGGAAATGTATATTCTGTTCTTTGCAACGGGACCATTAAGAGTCTAGGATGCCTCCAAATTGCTTATTTTCTACCACTACTGCTGCTTCTCATGTCTCAGAAGAAAACATACTTTTTGCGATTCTACTTGATGATGAACACACATCTAGATGTGAGGAAAAATAAAGAGGAGCTCATACTCCAAATATCTGCAGCAGCACCCCAGCTTTGGTTTTATACTGGATTGTTCATACGGATTGCCACTTTTTCCCTTTTGATGATGTTGAGATGTGTTTGGATACGAAGGGACTGTTCCATGATGTCCTGCTACTGAGAATAAATCAGCCTTCTCACAAATTAGAGCGATTTGTAGTTACTGTTCCAGGTGCCCTGGACTTACAGGAGATGGTAGAGGAGAGAGGTGAGTTCAGCTGTGGTCATGCCATCCATCTGTGCTCTCAGACAGTATTGAAACATAGGGCTACACTAATTATTATTCAAATGTTCTATGTTAGAATTTAAATTGTAAACATTTTTTTTAAAGCAAAAAGGAAAAAAAATGGTGCTATCTTTCACCCCTGAGCACATTCGGTGAGACTGGTCATGCAGGCATATAGTGCCAGGCTATACAATCTTGCTTTTTTAAAAAAACAAGAAATGTTTGCCCTGTTACATGTCTTCAGCAGTGTATAGTGTTATTTGATTTCATTTTAATAGGGGGAGGGGCATTCAGGAGACAGTCAGGGGGCTTAATTGCCATTTTAAAGAACATTTAAAGAGTGACTTTGACCTACTTGGTTTAATTTTATCATTACACTGAAGTAAGGAAGGTTGGTTTTGGGATGAGAGATGGTCTCATTCCCTGCCCCCGTTTCCATCTAACCATTTATAGTCTGTATAAATGGAAATGCCTCTGTTAAAGTTGGCTTATGGTGTTTTCTTGTAGTCACTGGAACAGCAAGTTGGCCATGAAGCATTAAACATCCCTCTGAGAAATGGGTACGTCCGGCATTGATATTGTATAGAGTATGGTGGAACAAGTGTGTTAGTTATGCCATTCCTGCAAAATGAGTGGGGGATGGGAGAAGATGTCCTTTCTGTCTCATACATAGCAGTGATGCACTGAGATGAGCACAAACTATACAGACATCAGAATTATGTGGGAACCAACAAAAGAGAACCACCTGTTCTGGAGTCCTAATCTGTTGTATTTGTCAGCTGATTAGTGAATAATGTGAATGTATAAGACCTTAGCAATAGCCTTCAGGTCCGATTGGGAATTTGCTCATTCTTAGCTACAAGCAAGTGCCTTTTGGTCTAGATGGATTATTTCAAGACAACTGTGATTGGTGACCTCCCTTGCTGCAGCCATGTATCTTTATGATGTACCATACGAAGTTTCGTTTATTTCCCCTGCCCCTCCCCACCACAGAAATACCTCTCATCACTGGAGGCTCATTGTCCTGGATATTTTCCCTTCTAGAGTTCTTCTTTTCATAATGACAAAACAGCCAATCTCAATAGAGGCATTCCAGTTAAAGAATATTTTGTTTCAAATGTCACATCTGCAGGTAACTGTGTATGAAGATTATAAGGGCAAAGTAGTATAACTCAAGATTTCTTAGGTTTTTCACAAAATTGTTTTCCCTGAATCATTCTTAACATTACAGTCCTTGCTGACTGTTTTCTGTTTGTTTTCCAACATCTCGGTTAATTTGTTTTTCCTTTGAAAGAAGGAATGTCTTTTGACCTTCAGTGCAATGTCAGACCAATTCTTTGTTAATACACTTGGTTGCCTCCTAGCTATATAACTTCTGAGTGTAAATCATTGAACTTTACCCTCTAATGAAGTATTGTAGAAAATAAATTGTAATGGATACATTTGTATTTTGTCCCTTTTTTTACTGGTGGCTTTTCTTTGTTAATTTTGGCTTTTAACACTGAAATCTAATAATACATTTTGTGTTTGTTTTTAAGATTTTTACAAAAAGTAAACTTAATTCCAAAGCAGGCAGTGTGGCAGAATCAAAATGAAATGGGTGGGAATCTTGTAACAAATTTCCATATTACAAAATAAAGTTTCAGAAATAATGGGATTGGACATTTTTTTAAAAAGCTTTGCCTGTGGCATTTTGTTTCCTGACCCATACAGAACATTGAATGAAATATCATGCTGAAAGATCAACATATGATGAGCGCACTGTAACTATTACGTATTTTTCAGTTTTCTAAACTAGAACTAGACCTAATGTAGACTAGCTATTTCTGCCCAGTACTTTTGAAATAGTTATAAGCATTTATGCAAACGCAGAGTGCTTTAAAAATGGCCCTGTGCCATACAGACTGCGTAACTATCCTCTACTAATTCAAATATAGGAATAAAAAAAGCATTCATCAAACTCAACAGGTAGTAAGTATATTTGAATTGGCAAGTAATGCCAGTGGCAGTCTCAGTTCATGACCTCAGCTGATGAGATACACAAGCACATAACCTGCAGTATTGTAGGCTGCCAAATAAATGTTGTACTAGTGCTCCCTGTATTATTTGCTTTTGTCCCTCAAAGTACTTCCAGCCCTTGGACACTATTAATCTAGATTAATTAATAACAGGTTTTATTAACAGGAAGCAGAGGGTTTGTGACCTTCAGTGTGGTATTAGCACTAATTTTTGTAGGCATTTCTGCCATTCTTTAGTTGTTACACATTTCCAGCCATACACCACAATATGAATTTGGGATGTGCTTTATATGACTTTTGTCTAAAGTATAGATTCAGATGAATTGCTGGGATGTGACATAAAGAATTACTTCCTGAAAACTAGTTCCTGATTCCTGAAAACTATTTTCATAACTAGAGTAACTCAATGCCTTCAAGTTAGTATGCATAATTTTGAGGTACTGGTAATTGGTGGCTGGGCCATGGCTATGATATACAAAACATTCCTACTATTCCTGAACAGAGAATGTTTGTGAACATACATAATACTCTTCCTGAACCAGCCTATTATATGGAACGTAAGTATTTCTTAGATGCATTATTCTTAGGCATAAGATGCACTGTCCAGTGAATAAGTCTGTTCAAGAAGCAAATAATGCTGTTTTAAATGTATTTTGCATGTATAGCTCAATCCACCATACACATTCGCTACTCAGAAATTGGTCCCACTGAAGTGGGGCTGAAATCCTATGTAATTGAAGTTGGCTAAGGCTACTGCGTTTTGTAGACTTAACTATGGAATTTAGACATGTGGTACCTTCCTAAACACACTCATTAGCCAGTAATCCTCCTTGAGTTGAGTGAGCTACTTCTGAGTAAGCATGTTTAGTATTGTATTGTCAATGAAGTTTACATCCTGATCTCATTGTGTTTAAGATTTAATTGTATCAATATTTAGAAATTAGCAAACTCCACCTAGATGGACTTGGAAATTGCAAATTTCCTATAATGAAGAGGATCATGCTTTCCAAAATTCAGGGTTATTACAAGAACATGCAGGTGAATGCAAGCCCATTTATTCTTGTACTCTAAGACTATACTAGTTGCTTATTCCCACAGAATTCAGTGGCACCTCCTCCTCAGTAAAGGTGCCTTTGGAATGGCTAGTTAAAACATTAAGGGTGCAAGGTTTAGACAGTAGAGTCCTGCAACTCCCAGCTTGCCCAAACCATGTTGACTGGGCCATGTGGAGACTTGTAGGGTTTTTCTTTCAAAAACTAGCCACTGATGACTTTGGGAAGTTAATAGGGCCAGTTCAAGATATTTTGCTGCATGAAACTTTGCCCAAATCTTCTCCAGCTAAGAAACACACTTTTAAAAAGTCCTACACCACCATTCAGCCACCAGTTCCTACCTTCAGCTGTATCCCCACACCCCCTTACGATCTATCTAAAGGATCACCCTATTGCATGCTAGACTTGTAACAGCCCTCCCCAGACTCTGTTACTCCACAGTTCCTCTGTACTAAAGAGGGTCCATTTAGCTATCATCACCAGTAAGGAAATTGTTGCCTTATGTTGTTATTACATGCCATCAAACCATCTCTGATTTGTGGCAACCTATGAATGAATGTCCTCCAAACTGTCTTCTCCTTGACAGCCCTACTCAGCTCTTGTAAGTGCCAGGATGCAGTTTCCTTTATAGAATTGATTATATAGTTGGTCTTGTTCTGTTTCTGCCTTCCACTTTCCTTGGCATGATTGTCTTCTCCAGTGAGTCTTTCCTCCTTGTGATATGCCCAAAGCATGGCAGCCTCACTTTCATCATTTTCTCTTCCAGGGAAGGTTCTCCCTTGATTTGATCTAGGATGCACTTGCTCCTCTTTCTGTCAGTATTTGCAAAGCTCATGTACAGCATCATAGGAAGAAAATTCAAACTATCAGCTTCATTCACTAGCCGCCCTTTACACACATACTTAGTGATCAGGAATAGTGTGGATGATCTAAGCCTCGGTCTCCAGTGAACCATCCTTACACTTGATTATCTTTTCCAGTTCATTGCTGCCCTTTCACGTCTCAGTTTTCTTTTAATTTCTTGGCTGCAATCTCCCTTTGATGACTGAGTCAAGGCTTGTAAAGCTTTCACAATTTCAGTTGCTTCACTGATAACATTAAAGTTGCATAACTCTTCTGTAGTTATGATTTCCATTTTCTTAATGTTCAGCTAGTCCTCCCTTGCACTTTCTTCTTTCACATTCATCAGTATTTGTTTCAATTCATTCGTGCTTTCTGCCAGTTATATGGTATCATCTGCATATTTTAAATTATTTATTTTTTTCCTATACAACCTTGCAGCCAAAACTCTTTTATTAATATATCTTCTGCCTATCTTCATGTCTCCTTCCTCTGATTCTAAACCAGCTTCCCTTCTGCATACTGACTGAACAAAGGGGGAACTTGTCTGATGCCTTTACCAGATACAGGTTACTGTCCACAATATAGTTTACACATCAGGTCAATGAAGTGCTGAGGTACACCCATTTCTTTCAGAACCTTCTTTATTCCTTCCAAGTGCTTTCAGAGCAGCTTATCACCTCACTTTCTAATATTCTTCATAGGATTCCTCTTCGAAGGCGTCTGTCGTTCTTTTTGCATTTCTGTTTAATTCTTCCATAGATTGTTTCCACTTTCTCTTTATTTTGTTCTGGTCAGTTAGTATGCTCCCCTGGTGGTCTTTTGAGCATTCCTAATCCAGCTTTGCGTTCTCCTTTGATCTCTTGAACATTCGGGAAGAGGAGTCTTGTATTCTCTTCTATTTCTTTGTACTGGCCGTTGCAATAGTTTTTTTTGCCTCTACATGATAGTCGCTTGAAAATTGCATTCAGGAGTTAGACCCTATTTCTGTCACCATTTGCTTTGCTTCTCAACTGTCCATAGCATCCGTGTTTCTTCCCTCATCCAGCTAGGCTTTTTGTATTTTCCCCTTTCGCTACGGGAAATGTCTTTTGGCATTCTTCCCTAACAATGTCTCCGTTTCAGTTCAAAGTTGTTCTGCTTCATGGTCAACTGAGTTCAATAATGCAAATCAGTTCTTCATGTGGCCTTTAAATTCCTCAAGAACATTATTTCTAATGTATTTAGTCACTGGCTTTTCTTAGTGATCTTTTGCTGCTTCACTTTCTTTTTCTAACTTTTCTAACACTTCAGGAGGGCTCGGAATTTCTGTTCTGCTCCCCGATCTATATAAGTCGGCCCGACTCCTTCGTATCAGAGAAGCCTTGAGCAACGAAGACATGCTCCGGGACTCAGTACATCCCCCTGAATTCAGCCCCAACCCTAAAGACACTTGCGAGGGAATAAGCCCCACTGAACACAATGGGACACTTCTAGCACGACGGCCACAGCACCATGCTGGCAGCGTACACCTCCCGCCAAAGTGATTCGCAGGACTACTCTCGGAGACGCACGGCGTCAAAGCGGCCAGAAATGCCGCTTTACCCCGACAGCTTCTGACAGCTCCCCGCTTCGCGGGCAGCTCCCTCCCGCTCGAGGGCGGTGTCAGGGCAGCGTCGCTTTCTCTCTCCGCAAGGGGGCGTCGGCGCTCCCAGCTAAAGCTTCCCTTCCCTCCCTTTCCGGCCGACCGCTTTGCTTTCTGGGGCTTTGTGAGGCCATGGCCGCTGGAGGTCCTGATGTGCGGGCCGTGGATGTAGAGGAAGATGCTTCGCAGCTCGTCTTTCCCAAGGGTGAGCGGCTGGCTCTTCGGAAGGAATTGCAAGAGAAGCGGCAGGGCTGGCGGGTGTTGACACTAACGAGGGCTGCTGCGGCGGAGGTCCGGCTGGGGTGCGACCTCCCCGCATCGTCGTTGCAATGCATAGCGGTCCCCCGTGCTGCGGTTATGAAGTGCGCTTCTGTTGCTAGCCTTCTCCTATTTCCCCTGCTTGGATTCAGATCCAAGGCTGAGGACTGAAGGCACATGAGGCAGCAGGAGCTCTGCTGTTTCTGCAGAGCCGACTGGGAGACTGCTTGGGAACCCGTTCTGTACGAGCAAGAAAAATAGTATTTTATTTAGTAGTAGTATGTCTCCCTGGGGTAGCTGAAGTGCACCTAAATTGTGAATGGGTGGATAGTTCGATTATTCATACTTCTATTATGGAAGCGGCTGGCTTCTCCAAACAGCAACGTTGTAGGCTTCATACTTTGGGACACTGCTTGACTTGTTTCTGACCCAGTTTGTTGTTGGCATTCTGTTCACAAGCACAAACATGGTCCAGCTACACCCAGTTTGCTTTTGTCCTGTTAGTTTCAATGAAATACTTGCAAATTATCTTGCCTAAGAACAATAGATTTAATAGCAATGCCATTAAGTTTGCTTTTTTTTTTTTTAAAGAAAATACTAAATGAACAAGTTACTGTGTTTTAGAAGCATTCTTCTTTTAATGGCTGGTTATATCTAGGTTTTCAAAAGTTTTGTTTACCTTTAGTATTGTATAAGCTGGTTTCCAGAGTCTTTTGAAGACGTTTTTTAGATAAGTGTGCACATCCATATTTCTGGGAATATTTTCACATTTACAATTGTTTAAAGCTTTCTGGAAAAACAGGATAGAAAATCATGTGGATGTTTTGCTTTTAATACAAGATCTCAATGTAAATATAAATGGTGATACCTGAAAATATGAGGCTATTGTCAGAATAATGCCCTGTATATAAACTTGGCAGTAAGGCCCACAAAAACTGTTTTTCTTGCATTTTGATCAAGATATATAGCTTTTAATAATAAAACATATTGTCTTACTCAGGGTATAGGAAACCTGTGATTTCTCCAGATGTCCATTTTCCTGAATCCTTGCCATGCTGGCTAAGGCTGATGTGAGTTGAAGTCCTACAACTTCTGTAGGACTGCAGTGCCTTGCTCTGCTTTCTCCAACCTGCATCTCTTCAAATGTTTCAGCCTACAGCTCCCACTGTCTTGACCATTCTGGCTGGGGCTGATAGGAGTAGTAGTTTAAAACATCTGAAGGGATGTGAATTTCAATGAGCCTATTTAGAAATAGCTGTGTCTGGCAGCAAATCATGGGCTAATTAACCCCAAGTTGTAGGGACTTGTGATGCATCCAAACTGCTTCCTCTTTCCATTAGCAACCTTCAAATGTGACATACTTTACACATCTTTGTATACAGAATTTGAGACTGCTGAAACCCTTCTAAATTCAGAAGTGCACATGCTTCTTGAACACCGGAAACAGCAGAATGAGAGTGCAGAAGATGAGCAAGAGCTCTCTGAAGTCTTCATGAAAACTTTGAACTATACTTCTCGCTTCAGCCGCTTCAAAAACCGAGAGACCATTGCTAGTGTTCGCAGGTAATTTTTTAAATGAATTATTTTAAATTGGCTAACATGAGAGCTAATAAAGAATACCATTCTCCTGAACTAAACAATATATTTGTTGCATATAGATTTATTTTCACTTTACATGAATTTCTTTCATAAGTTATCTTTATTTCATAATTTTAATGGAAACTAATACAGAAGATTTAGGACCTAATGAAACAGATTGCTGCGACATCAGTTAAATCATCTGAGCATCATATTTGCATTATTTTATGTGAGTATTTAAATACAGAGGTTTGGGAGTTTTATAATGTGTTTATGCAACAGTGAAGAATAGTTCTTCCTAGACTACTCCTTTATGTGATATTCCCAAGATTTCAGGACCATAAAAGTCAATACTTTATTAAGTCTCCATGGATCTGAAGTCACTCTGAAGCATATTCTTTACTAGCAGTAATAATAGGTGTTAGAAAACTTGGAATTCTAATGTTGATGAATAGCTTCTGGGAATTTAGGAAGTTACTAAGTTAATGAGATAACAAATCTAAGGTATCAGAAGGACAATTTAAAAATTCAGCTAAAATTGCTTAAATATATTGAGATTCTAATTTTGCTGCGGTCATGTAGAAGCATTACTTTTCTCTGAAACGTGTATGTAGTAACTTACAATGCAAAATAAGCAGTTGTGTTTAGTAGTTGCGTTAATTACTTTTAGGGTGCAGTCCAATGGGGATGCCCATAAACCTCCAGACTCAGAAGATTATAGGCAACTTGTGCAGGCTGGAGGAGTGTTGAGGCAATCTTCTCTTCTTGGCTCCTCTCACCCTGTAAATCTGGCTGTCTTACTGCAGAGTCTTGGAGGCTGACACACCAAGATAGGTCATCCCCATCCTCTTTACCCTTTTTCTAGGATTGCTCTTACAACCTCAGAAGCAGCTGGCACAATTCTTTCTATGCCACTTACAAACGTGAAAGAGGGGGATTGGGCATGGATCCTCAGCTCTGAGGTCTCATTCTTAACTACCTTCTTTTCATCTCTGTAATTTTGTTATTTCTTTGGCAATATTCACCCTTGTGTTTTTCTGAAAATTATTTTCTCCACTGTTTCCATATGCTTTTTTGCTACAGTTTGTTGCTCCAGAAGAAGCTCCATAAATTTGAACTGGCATGTTTAGCTAATCTATGTCCTGAGACGGCTGAGGAAGCCAAAGCTTTAATTCCCAGGTGAGCTGCACTCATTCCCTTTATGACCCATAAGAATCTATGAAACGTGAATAGAAACATCATTAGTGACATTCCTACCCATGGTTCTGTAGGCCTGGTAGTTCATGATAATTTATTGTGAGATGATTGCCTATTTATCTGCAGTGCTTAAAGAACTGGCCAGCTGACTGTGTAGCACAATACCCTTTTAAGAAATGTCTCCCTTAAAATAATTGCTGTTCATTGGTATATCTTATTTCTTTTAAGGAAAATCTGTAGGCTATCCTTGTATTCCAGGATAATGCAAAAAAGAAATGAGCCATTCATATTTACAGATACCTTACCAAATAATGACTATGTTCATGGGCATAGTTAAAAGACATTATATACTGTTAATTGTTACAAGATGTGAAGTGAAATGGAAGTATCAGGTGGTCTCCTGGGGATCAGGTGCATGGTGTTTATTATTTATTTAGATGCTAATATTACTGATATATCTTGAATATGTATTTGTATTTCAACTTTATGTTTAAAAAAAATTGAAAAGGGGAAAAATAATGACTACATTCAGATGATATTTCAGTCCATAGCATGATCTGAAGAACCAGTGAGCCCTCGCAATTGAGATCAAACAGTGTAATTGTAATTGGAAGCCATGTTCAAACCATAATTTGCTGATTTGGATTCAGTGGCATATACTAAGATAACCAAGCATGCAGTTCAGTCCTGTTCTTGCTAGTTAAAATATAGCCATTGTTAAGAGTTTCTGACATTTAGTGAAAATGTTAATTTCATATTTTCATAATAAACCAATTTGTTTTGCTATCCTAATAGAACATAATGTATCTTTTTGTTCTAATAAAGTTAATGCTTGAAAACCATAGACCATGCCCAACCATAGACTAAATTCTCTCCCTTTCAGCATAATTTTTAGAAAGCTAACCATTGCCTGCTTTTATCTTACAGTTTAGAGGGTCGGTTTGAAGATGAAGAGTTGCAGCAAATTCTTGATGATATTCAGACAAAACGAAGCTTTCAGTATTAAAAGAAATTGCCAGACCTGTCTATAGTCTGAACATTGCAAGGCATTGGGGGTGATACCCACATTTGTTTTCATGTACTGGACCAAGCCTGGATTTCATTTTGAAAACAAAAGCTGATGCAGGATAGATAACATTTTGTGTTGCACCCCACACATGCTTTAAAATGGGGGTTGTAGCTCTCTGGACTTGCTGAATTATTGACAGAGTTGAAAAGATTCATGTGATATAAACCCATAGAACTTTGATAATATTGGTCTGATTGATGTAATACTCATTTCTATATGTTTGTGTTCACCCTGGCAATATGCATAAAGTTTTTGAGGTCAGAAGGAATAAATGAAGGCACAATTTTCAGTTTGAACACGTGTTCCCTAAGATTAAAGGAACAGGAGTGATACCACTTTTTTAGAATTCTGAATATAGAATCAGGATTAATAAATTTGTGCTGTTTTGTGATGTGTTGATCAAGATTCTGAGTTCTCAGTTGTAGGAATATTTTTTTACAATTGTTTTGTGAGAATTAAAGTGCAGTATTTCTAAGGAGCATGTAGTATGTAAATGTTCTTACTCACATTTTGCAAAATTTCAGTATGCCTGAAAGAGCAAGTACTTGAAGTATTGGTGGACAGGCACAGATAGTAGAGGGAGAGAATTGATTGGATTATTAAACTGCATCCAAAGTCTATGATATCAGATTGGAATATAGGTGTAATATTGTCATATTTCATGTATATATTACTATAAATTACAGCCACCTAAATGTATGTGTGTTTCAGAAAGAGAGAAGAAAGCAACATTGCTTTTGGGAACTGATACTTATCAAATGTTCAAAGGTGCAGCTGGGTGCATGACTGACCATAAATAACAGTTCTTAGTTGGGTAGGAGTTGCCTTATGTGAAAGTCTGATTAACATTCAGACTGAGGGAATCACAGAACTATAAACACATGATCCATACACTGCAATGAGGCGGAAATGCTCTACTGCTATAGAAGCTATCCTACCCTATTCATCAGTGAATAGTAGAAACGGATAAGGCATTTCTCATCCAGCTATTAAAATTACTTTGAGAAGGGAGTCCATTCTTTCACTGTATTTTCCTATGATCACTTCAAAAGGGTACGAAATGCCTAATCTGTTAATACCATTCTCCAGACCTCGGCAAAGAACAGGATACCAGGAGGAATTAAATTACGAAGTAAAAGATCAGCACTTACTCATAAAATTAGATCTGCCCACCAACAAATTCAAAGGATTTTATACATGGTTAATGAAAGTGGCACCACTTCTGATTTAGTTCCACAAGCAGCTGATCCCATGGATTCTGTTGTGCAAATAGGATGCACCTCTTCAATAATGGAAATTTAAATCTTAGAGAAAGCCCCCAACAGAAACTCATTTCTTGATTAGGGTTTCTGTTAATCCCCAACCATACCATGAGATTTTTCCACTACTTCAGGCTGCTGCATTAGTATTTCTAAAATCAAACCTTTTCTCCACCACTTGAACGTTTATATTTTATTCCTTTTGTGTGTTTATACAGAAGAAAATCCCATCATGTTTAATGCTTGTAACTTCCAACTATGAATATACTGCAAAATTAATTTCAAAGCTTGCTTAGCACATAATAGCTCAACCCTTTTTGTAGTTCTCGCCCTGCTGTGTATTTCACAGTTCTAGCCGATGGAGCTTTTAAGCCCAGTGCTTGCGTAGGGTATGAGTATGATCTAATACCTGGAAGGGGGAGGGTCAAACCTTCATTTCCTGTTGATATTACTCCCCGCACTTTAATGTCTAACTTCGTTTTCTGCCATGCAAATATTTCCGTTTTTCTGCAGGTTTCGTTTCTCTATGACAATCCTCGTTTCTCCCCGCTGCTGGCTTGTTTTAGAAAGAAATGCATTGTCCCTCGGACGGGGGGAGAACTGACCTAAAACACGCAATTGTGACTGCTGCGAAACTTCTTAGGTGATCCTACTAAAGAATCATACTAACGTTCATAAATGAATTCACGTATTCCTCTCAGCCGTACATCTACCGCCCTATTTTACGGGACAAGCGCTTCCTTTTCCTGAATGGTAACCGGAAACTCTAGTATGGGGCTGCCTTGCAGTCTCAAGTTGATGTCGTGATAGGCGTGCGCATGCGCCTGTCGAGTTCTTTGGCTGTCCCCTCCCTCTGGTTGGTTTGCGCGATGACGTCCATCGTGTGCACCGCCTCTGGTCGCTGGTGGGGAAAATGGCGGATGGTGGCGGCGACGGCTCGTGAGGTAGCAGGTTCCGGCATAGGAGGGTTCTGGACGCTGGAGCCCCACGGTTCGGGGCTCCGTGATCATCTGTTTTGTGGGTGTCTCTTGGTAAGGAGATTGGGTGACCCGAGGATTGAGAGGAAGAGTCCCAGTGCGCCTGAGTACCGTAGCGTTTTCCGCCATGTTTAGGCCTTGAGAACTGCGGCTGTGAGGCTTTTGGCAACGAAGGGGCCTGCGGGTGAAAGCTGGGATGGGTATTGTGGGTGGAACGAGAGAGGCTAACTTGAGGTTGTGAAGGGAGCATCGAAAGGAACCACGAGGACTTGACTCCGGGAAGAGCCGAAGCTTTGTATCTAGAAAACCATAGAGAGAAACTGAGCCATCGTTCTGTCTTACCGCTTCGTGTAGAACACAGTAAATTGTAATGGCCTGACCTTAAGAAGTGTGTAATTAGCCAAAGGAATGCCTTCGGTGCAGTTTAATGGTTATAGGAGTGCTCTATGTTCTGGCAAGATACCACTTCCATCATACATTCACTAAGTGTCTTTAGCAGCTCCAGTCCCTCATTTATAGTACGGTAATGAAAATATAGGTCCAACTTTCAGACCACTATTAAGTACCAGGCATAAGTAGATAGCATGCTTTTGGGAATTTAAAAATGTGCTACATAGATGATAAATATTTGCATTTTAATATAATGTGTTGGTATAAAAATGTACGTTCTCAATGTTTTAGCAGAAAAGGTAGCAGCTCTACTTGCAAGAAAGTGGACAGGCTGTAATCCTAACTTCACTACTAGGAGTAAATCCCTTTGAACATAGTGGGACCTTACTTCTAAGTAAACATGTAAAGAATTGTATTTATGTTGATACAGATTTTTTTAATCTTATAAATTTAGTAGTTTTCCTAAGATGCAGTCCTGTGCATATTTAGTGTGGGAGCTTAAGTTTTTTTTCCCTGTATAAACATTCATAGAATGACACCCTGAGTTTTTAAGCTATATTTATTAATCTGCTAGTAAAAATGCCAATAATTTTGTAAACAATAGTCTTTATAATTTTTGAAACACTCATTTAAATTATAAACCCAATAGAATGATTAGAGCTTGTGCAACTAAGTCTCCGGTAATAAATTTGTTGTGAGCAAGTACTTCCTAACATCAGTTTTTCCAAAATGAAGAGTTAAAAAAGGTATCAACATTTTTGCCAGGTTGTCATTAAGGCCACAGTCAGACCATATTCCTGTTGTATACAACTTGAATAGGGTGGTTATGAGATATTATATACCAGGCATTTAAAAGTGTTGTAAAGTGATGATACCAGTTTCTACATTACCTTAAAGTCAGATGTCTCAGAATTAGCTGAATGAGATTTTTTATTTTTATGTATTCTAGGAATGCAGTATGTTCTGAGGCAGCTTTGGTGTCTAGGCAGAAAGATAATATTTAAGTTGTAAAATGATCAAGCACTGAATTTTGGCTCTATTAGTATAATATAAGATTTTGGTAATTTTAAAGTAAAATGGTAAACAGTCTTGTGGCACCTTAAAGACTAACAAAGATATTTTACTATAAGCTTCTTTAAACCCTTAGTCTGCTTCATCAGATAATTAACTTTCAGGTGTATAAGGAGTATAATGATCAAACATATAACAGTGATACATTAATAATGTGACTTTCACAGTAAGTAGTGTTTGCATTTAATTTTCTTCTGACTCCAGTGTTTACAATACACTCCCCAACCTGAAACATGCTATAAAAAAATGTATCTGATGAATTGGACTACAGTCTACCAAAACGTATGCGTGAATGAATTTGTTAGTATTTAACAAGACACTTTGTTATTTTTTCTGCTATAGATTAACATGGATTCCCTTATGGAAGGTGAAGTAAAATATTGATCCCATAAAATACTTAATATTTTATTTCTGATTCTTGTGTATTATTTCAAGATAGTTCATATCCTTTATATTTCAGGCAAACTATTTCATATTAGGCATACTTTTATATAGAAATAGTTCATACAAACTTTTTGTACAAGAATTATAACAATTGATAAACAAAGCAATAAATAATAATGTATGTAATACCAACAAAAACAAAATCAAAATTATGAGAGAGCTATACAGTAAGGAAATAGATTTTTCATGCAGTTAAAACTTAGTGTGTTTATGCTGAAATATTCACATCAAGTCAGTTATACAAAAGACTGTTGTACTGTTAACTTTTTTCAGTTGTCTGTATTTAAACAAAAGGAAAATTGATATTGTCCACCAGACTCAAACTCTATTAGGCTTTTATTATAAAGACATAATTTATGAAGATATGCCTGCATTTATAAAGACAGAGACTGGTGACACTGTAAGATACCTTGAGACTTTTTCTGAGAAGAATGTCTAAAAAAATGAAATTATACTTATTAATAATGATTTGAATCCAGATGTGACCATCTTTCATCGAATGACTCAGTGTGAATGGAAGGCCCTTTGATCCAGTGGAGGATCTTGCTAATAGAAGAGGAAGAGGCAGTTTTACCAATATGCCTTTGAATTACAGCCCCCTACACCACCTCTTATACTTGTTCAGATGCTCTTCAACCTCTAGAACAGTTTTTCAGAGATAAGGAAAGGATACAAGAAAAAATAATTATCTCGTCTGCTTCTGTTGGTGCAGGGGTAAGGAACCTGTGGTACTCTGGATGATGGTGGTGGACTACAGATCCCATAATTCATGTTCATGCTGAATGAGGCAGATGGGAGTTGGAGTCCAACGGCATCTGAAAAGCCATAGATGTTGAGTAGCCCTCAACTCCATACTGAGCATCAAGAATACTATTTGCTCAAGGGATCTTTATATCCAACCCTCCATTTGTGTTCTAGATAGTTCTCATGTGCTTTTTATCATCCCAGAGGGAGAGAGAAATTGTGTGCAGATTTGTTCAAAATCTTGTGTTTTGTCCAAGAATAAACATTAGGCTCAGACTTAATTTCTCAGGTGCCTGCTTTTTTCTCTCTTAACTGTGTTTAATCCAGGCATTCTTAAACTTTGTTGTATTACAGACCAGGATTCTGGTTTGCTCAGATTTTGAGAGCCATCACATATATCACTTTATTTTCTTTCTATATCACCCCAAAGCAGAAGCTCTCTTATAATGATTACTGATTTGAGCAGTTGCTTTAAAGGCTTATGGAATAAAACCCATCTTCTCTTGCTATGGAATATTTGAAGTGAAGGGAATAAGGTAATATTGCTAGGTTTGCAAATGCCTTGCTATTTTGTGAGCCTAGGGTGCTACTTT